TATTCACTTAGTACTAAATATTAATACCGGATTAGAGCGATTAACAATCATTTAGCTCCTCAGAATGAGGCAAACCTCGACTATTATTTGAAATTGTAGTGGCGCTGGAATGTATATTCAACCCCTACAGTTGGATAAGTGATTTACACAGTTTCAGTCAATTTTCTGCCCAACTGATTCGATACCAAATGTAGGTGCAGCAGAAGAAAAAGGATAAAAAAGGATAAAGTTTTTGGCGTTAATCAACCCCGTCTGAGGGATGCGCCCTCGCACTCGACTTCCATTCAGAATCGCAGTGGCGTAATTAGTGCGTATGTGGCCTTTACAATGACTTGTGGTGGCCAGCCGATGTGCAAGTCAGTGCATTTATCCTCCCAGACAAGTCTGGTACCAATTAACCGACCCCGTGGGGATAAAAGGCTTGGTTGGCCTAGGCAGGCATCGGTCCGGGATTCGAACACCTGACCGTGCGTGTGATATAGTGCGCCACTTGCCACTACACCACCTCCACCCTAGCACAAGAAAAAGGGAGAAGAAAATGAAGTTCGCAAAGAGGGACTGATAGGGATTAGTGGTTCGATACATATATTGATTCCTAATCAGAGTATGATGTACCCGGTTGATTACACCCCGTCCTACCTTCACACCTGACAAATACAAGGGGTTTGCAGGAGTAAAGATGACAAAAAATGACAATTATCCCACCATATTGGGCTTTCTGGGTGGAGGTGGTGTAGTGGCAAGTGGTGCATTATCACACACACATGGTTATGGGTTCAAATCCCAGATCGATGGTGCGGCTCCTCTTGGAAGATAAAAGCACTGACTTGTACATCGTCTGGTCACCGCAAGTCATTGTATAAGCCACATACGCACTCAATGCACCACTACGACTTTGAATAGAAGTCGAATGCGGGGCGCATCTCTCAGACGGGATTGATTGACGCTCGAAGATTTTATCCTTTATCCTTTATGTGGCTTTCCTCATCCTCTTGAGAGATAATTCGTTGAATTAGCAGATCCTGTTCGTTCGTACTTGCAGTGCTACTGGAAATGATTGAATAGAGGTTATCTATAGAATTTTTAAGGTGCGCGATTTTCCTTTCGACAGCCAGACATGTTCTATCAAAATGATGACACATTCGTTTCGAGCTACTGAGTACGGTATAAACGTGGTGATTCCTCCAGCGATCGAGAAAGCTTCACCGCTTGAAGATATGGTATGTACTTTATTGATCACTTTATTCAAATCACCAATCGGTTCGTCCGACTGACGCCGGGCTTCCGTCCTTTTTCGGCGAAGTTGTGATAATCGGCTAACACTCTACTCCTTCTTTGAAACAAATAACATTTTCCAGTACCCGAAGTTTGACACTGGACTAACAGGGCATTGCAAATGGTATTCAGTGGAAGTCGGTGCTCACACCTTTGATCAGGAGTCTCGATCTATTGCTCTCGTTCTTAAAAGTAAATACCCATTGAGGAGTCGATTGTTGGGCAATCAAAACCATCGGCTGTACTCACAAATGTTTCGAGTGATGATAACACCATTATCAGATGTCATTATCAATGGAGCTTTTCCTTTACGGAGATATCATTAGTTGATAATTCCAGATTACTGGCGGTCGGCTAGTTTTTGCTACAAATGATATCGGCCAAAGGGAATCCTTCTTTGAGTCACAAACTTGCTGGGTAGCGGTAGTCTTATAGCAAGAAATGAACATAGTCCTTATTTACTTATCGTAGTACCGGTAAAAGGTCCCTATCGCTGCACTTACTACTCACTTTTGTCACCCTACTCTACCATCTCGTCCTATCGAATGAACTTACTGAACACTCGAAGCTACATCTTAAATACCCGGTTACTGTCATCAAGTACCTATGGTCCCGTCATATCCTATATTAATTATTAAAATGCCCAAGTTTCACTGTTGATACGAACGACCCTACCAAACGCTTGAATGCTTTGGGTCCACAGGAACAGAAAGCATGAATATCCGCTCAAACATTTATTCCGCGCAAACTCTGCCCCACTGCGAGCGGAATCCGGCATGCCACCTAGTGTGGGATTTCAACGCTCTAGGTCCTCGTAAACAATAGTTATGAATTTGCGGTCGGAAAACTGTATCACGCCCGACCCGCCCATTGCGGGCGGAGCCTAGTCCTGCTACCTGCCATACGTGTTCACATTCTGCCTCCTGTACTTCTATCAAATTCCAGCGCTCTAGGTCCACGAGAGCAGAAGTTACTTATTTGCGGTCCAACAAACACACACCGACACACACCAACACACACACACACATACACACACACAAACAAACAAACACCGAAAAACCAACAGAACCACTTAGCGAGTTATATACAGTAGGATTGCACATTTTTCGAACTTCTCTAAGGTAAAAGTGATAATAAAATGAACAGCTTATTTATATACTCCAAGTCACTAGTGTATCCACGAATTGCCTGAATCTCCTAATTTACGCTTCTGAGAAGATCATTCAGTTATGTGATGTATTAGCATGCTGAAAAGCAGCAACGCGTTGTGCCATTGAGGATCTCTACAAATATCGGGAAGTGCCTGCCGAAATTCAACAAAAGTTAAGATTATTTCTAAAATGCTCTGGAAGGTCCCAACAGCAATACTACAAAAAAGGACACCACCTGTAGCCTGTACCATATAGCGATATTTGTTCTGCTTGCACTGCTAGAACCTGGACGTTATCACCGAGAACCTACTCACTCAATTAAATTTCTACATGCTATCTGTTTAGGGTAGGCATCTTTCGCTGAGTGATTTGCGTACCTCGCCCCGAAAATCGCACCAGATTCTCGGAACTTCTATCCAAATTCCAACGGCAAGCGGCAAAGGTCACGCGGCGGCTACACCATCCTTGCTCTGGGAACTCAAACCTTTCCCTTCATAGAGCGCGACTGCGCGCGATTGGGTGCGGCGAATGCGACGCCATTTTCGGGAAAAAGATACCGGACCCTGTCGCTACCCTTCGTTGATTGTAGTTTAGCGAGTTGAGGGTGCCAATGAGGCAGCGATTCTCAAACAGAGATAGAAAATAGTACACGGGTCTTATTTCGAGCGTCAAAAATAGCCCAAAACAGGGAGCATAATTCGTTTCCCGCCTTGATATCAAACGGTTCCATTCCAAGATATGGCAACTACAGGGAATTACATTCGATGATAATCATAACTCTTCAAGTCTGATAAAGTGCTGCAATCAAAATGAGCTTTCGGGAAAAAAACGTTCTTTGACGACATTTTCTTTTAAAGGCTTCTTTCGCTTCTACATACGTTAACCATGCTCTCTTGACGGAACAACGTCGAGATAAACAGACTGATAATCCAAATGGATAATGATTTAGGGTAATGGCGAGTGGCAAATCAAATCTCTTACCACAAGAATGGAAAGGATCGAGTATGAAGATGGATCTATTGTTGAAATAGTAGGTTATGAATTTTTTTGTTTTTTTGTAACAATAATCAGACTGTAAGCTAGAGTACGGTAAAGATGCCTAGAGACCAACTCTGTTCCAGGGAAGCTTCAATTTTTTCATGAAGAGAAATCCGGCGTTCTACATAGCCATCGTCATTACACCGTCTTTTATCATTAATATCATCTGTATCCTTGGACTATTCCTAAGCGGTAGCAATAAAATGTCACAGGTTAGTATGTTAGTAGAATACTTATTGATTAGATATCCAAAAATTAGGGGAAGGTAGGGGCAGGGGCTAGTGGCTCCTATGTCGAAAAAATGATTCGAGGTTCAATTCCGGGTTAATTCTCGCCCAACCACTTTTACTACACTTCACAATCAGTAAAACGTTCAGTTCCGTAGAAGGAATCTCGCATTCGCTACATCCTGACAAAAACCCCACTCATGGGTGAACTCCATTTTTACCTGTTCTTGGATCCTTTCCAACGTACACCGTGTATTAATGGGGTTGAGCTTGATAACCTTTTTTTCTGTTCAACTCCTGGGGCAAATGTGGTGGCGTCTGATAGTGGAGGACACTATCAGACGACAACTCGTGGGATCGAATTCTGGATCAGAACATGCCCATGCCAATAAAACTCTCCACTTTTTTGAAGTCGGTTGATTGGTAACAGACTCACCAAACCACTCTGGGAGAATGAAAGCACTGTTTCGTAAGCCAGCTCTGGTGGCCACATGTGCATTCAAAAAGCTACTGCATTTTGAATGAAAGTTAAATGCTGGGCGCATTTCTCGATTTACGTCAAAGGGCTCTACCCTTCAGAATAACTCTACAACTTCTTCCTAAAAATTCCAATGTCATTTTGATGCAATGTTTAATTACTGGATTACCTACACCCATACGTTTTCTAGGTGGGTATGGCTCTCACCAATATTATGTCTTTGACTTTCATTCTCGGAATTCTTGCCAATGTACTGCCTAAGGTTGACGAGTTGCCGAAGATAGGTAAGCACTATGCTATATCTACAGTATATTACATCTCGCGAACTATGAAAACGCAAGCTGACTCTACAGGTGTCTACGTTGTGGTTAATCTGGCGCTCATAACTGCCTCACTGCTCATTGTCCTACTTCTGCCTTACCTACCGCTGCCATCATGTTTCCGCTCAAGCGTTAAAGGAGAGAAGGACAACGTGTAGGTCTTGAAATTGCGAATCATATTAGGAGTGCAACAGAATTTCAAAGAGATCTCTTTTTCAGGGAAGAGGCCAGTGAAGAGAAGACCCTCCGCTTATCTCCAGTGAATATAGCCTTCCTTATTCTTCTTGAACTTGCAAATCTTGTGAACTTCCTAGTGCTTGTCTTGTGAAAAAACGAATGTAAACAACAAAAATGATATGTTTGCTGAATGAACGTGGTACCCAAATGGCTTGCTCCCAAACCGAAACAGCTAAAGGTATGAAAAATCGAAAAGTCGGGCGGAGATAGGACAGGCAGGTGATATGTAGCTCGTACAAGCCACATTTAAGGGTCGACCCTTGAGAAAGCACACAGGCGCCATCCAAGCCTTGCACCCGTAAACTCTTACGTCTGTGGGCGTGTTCGAGTCTCATTGCCAGCGAAATCCGACATTCCCCTTCAGATATAACTTTATCTTTTTGAAGGCGCAATTTACGATAAACATGGTTCTCGAGATTTCCTCCCAGGATGAACCTACGGCTCCAAAAGATAGCATGTGGGACAGTGGTGGGGCGAAAACCCACCCGGACATTATGACGGCTTTGAAACCGGCTTGTCGCACGTACACACCCAAAAGTGGCCATGTTATGACGACGTTGTCGAGGTTGCGCCATTTACAATGAAGCACTGGATCATTTCGGGATAGTACGCTAACATGGGACACACCAGACGGTCACAGACACACGATCTCGTACAAGCCCTCTGCTACTAATCTTTGAAGCGGTAAATCTCCTAAAATCCGTCGATTTTCGCGCTTCCTATTGTCTGTTTACTTTGTTCTGTACCGTACCTTCCATTTTTTCGCTCAAACGGGGCACCTCAAAACTATCGTGAACTGCGCCATTAAGCTAAACGACCGGACCGAGATTTTAAGTAGGGAGTTTCATTTGGCTCCCGTTTTGGTGCTTTTGCTTTTTTCGGAGTTTTAGAAGACGAAGACAACTATGGGATCTATTCACACAACATCAACCTTAAAATCCAAGTATCGCCAACTTACAACATGTTCATTACCATAAGCTACTACTTTTGGGGACTTTCAGAAGGACGTAGGTAGTCTTGTGATAAGTATCGTACTACCACACACGCATTGTCACGGGTTCAAATCCCGAATCGGTATCCAGCTGGGCCGACCGAACCCTCCATCCCTCCAGGGTCGCTTAATTGGTATCAGGTTTGTCTGGGAGGATATAAGCACTGACTTGTACATCGGCTCACCACCAAGTCTTCTATAGGCATACGCATTCATTACGCCTCTACGAATCTGAATGGAAGTCGAATACGGGGCACATTCTTCAGATGGAATTGATTGAAGCCAAAAGACTTTATCCTTCAATCCTTCAACTCTTGAAAATGATTGCTTGAAGTACTTGGAAAAATATGCAGCTACGTACCTTAGTTGCCAACATAATTAATGCCGTCGGATGACGCGAGCAATGCCACTGCCATTCTAACAAAATCAAGCCACAATAATAAAATAAAAACAATAAATAAATAAAAGCCAGATGCGAGACCAATTTCTGAGCAGAATTGATTAACATCACGAGATTTGACACTTTATCAGTTTATTTTCGATAAATCACATTCAAAACATGAGATGAAAGGGATATACTGGATGAAAAACTAGTTCTAATTTATACAAATGAGGATAGTTTGATAAAAATATAGTTGATAGTAATCGACGACTGAGCCCTTATTTCATGAACTGCTTGATAGAAAATCTTCCCGAAATATTTGCTTAAAACAGCTTTACATACAAAAATTATATCCAAATATCGGATGTACAGTCTCCTCCAGGATAGCGCATCTCATGAGCAAGATATGGGCCTCCTTCAAGTTCTCCAAAGTCTACGAGGAAATCTTCATTGAGGGTCATTTTACCGTTGTTTCCGATGTGAATCATAAGCATCACTGCTCCGCTTCTGAAAAGTTCCACCATAAGAGCATGACCAAAGGAAAGAATAAGCGATGCAAAAATTGATTAGCACAAACTTCAACAGATTCGGATAGAACTGTTCATCCCATTTTCTGTAGAGGGACGTCGTTACATAGAGACGTTTCCCATCAAGGCTTAGCTGTAACATTTGCGGACCACCCTCGACACGTTTCCCTTTCACATATCGTGCGGGAGGTGCTTCCTGAAAATTAAAAGATCCAGCTCAAGGGGTAAACCTGTCTGGGTATCTCAAAACTACGTTTTGAAAGAGCAAACTAACCTTCAACTCTTCATCATGAATGATCTTCACACCACTTTCGCTATGAACGCTTCCTCCGAGAAATATCTAAACAGACTTCTGACTTATCTGGCAATATTACACACGGTATCGACATTATATTGGCTGTCGGCTCCACTTTTTCCTTTTTTTTCTTTTTCACTTCACTGGTTCCCCTTACTTCCTTTCTATGTTGTCTCAAATGGCGTCATCTAACTAACTGGCTTCAAATACATTATGTGTCTCATCGCAAGAGAGTCCATTGGCACAAGATAAATTAAAAAATATAAGTATAGCATGTATCTGGGAGGGTTGGGATGATGCTAAGTGACTCTTTCATGGTCACTAGTTCACGGTCAGGAGATCGAATCCGAACCGATGGCTTCCAGAACCTACCAAGCACTAAATCTCTCCAGAGGCGGTAAATTGGTATAATGCTTGCTGGGGATGGGGGTGGGAGGAGGTCGGGAAAGGG